CTTTTACTTATATTAGGTCTTAACGTTTTTGCACAAATTAGGGCGTGGTCACTTTGATGGACATGTACATGCCTCACTGTCAGCTAACAGCAACTTGTCCACTCTGCTAGGCTACAACCATAGAGGCTAACAACGTTAGTTAGTTGTAGTTACTGTACTTGACCCTTTAGCTTTAGCAGTGTTCGTGGTGATTGTGCCTTTTAGGGAATATTGTTACAAATACCAGACAATTAAAATGTTGTGCTGTGCGCTTGAATGTACTAACAGAACTTCCAAGAAGTCTAAAATGATAATATTATACATGTCCCGTTCACAGGTGTTTGTGTGCTTGGTAGCTTAGCTTGTTACTTATTAGCCAGCTAAGGACATAACCCTTTATACATACATATACATTTTAGTTTATGATTCAGCCTTGGGTAAGACTTTTATAGTCTATGGCTATGACGCCCATAATGCTAAACGGGAGCAAATGTTAATAGGGGACCCAATTATCCCAGTGGTGGCCGCCGGAGCTAACGGAGCCGCGGGGGGCTAGCTCCAGCCGGCGTCCCGGAGCTACTAACCCACTGCGGCTCCGTTAGGTCCGGGCGGTGGAGTCCGTCTTTTCTTAACGTGTGAATGATAAGCATTAAGAATAACAAAATATAGCTAATTCTCTTGCAGATTGTCTCATTTGATTATGAATGTAACGTTTATATAGGGGAACTACACTGTTAGCAGTAACTTGGTATGCATGTATTTCTTGTTAGCTTAGCTTCTTAGCCTGAGCTAGCTCTGTTTACTTCCAGTTCGGAGGCAGCAGGTCCCGCCTCGGCTCCGCCTCTTTGCCCTTATTTGGAGCAGGCGGGATTAGACTGACGTCGCTGTCAAGCCGTTAGTGGCCGACTCCGCCTACTAAGGGCTTCTCGGCAACTCTGCAGAATCCTATGGGTGACGTCACGGACACTACGTCCATTAATATATACAGTCTATGGTTAATACCCATACCTAAAGGCGACTTCACAAGATCAGCATAAAACGGCTCTGCGCTGCCATTGCCGTGACCCAACACTAATGCCAACCCTTATCATTTCAACCTTGACCTCAATGTCCTCTGACCTTTTGACAGATGTTTAAAAGCATCACAAACTATGTACATAACAATAGAAACAAACATTTACCAACTGTTTTCACAACAAGGCTCTGCGCCCAACCTTGCAGTGACCAAAGAACAAGTTGCGTATCATGTGAAAGCCTACATTTGAGTGAAAATTATCCAACATTTCTCCACACAACTGCAGATGTGTTTACCTGGCTCCGGTCTTTGTCCACCTTCTTGAAGCACTTGTTGAGCGACAGATTGTGGCGCACTGAGTTCTTCCAGCCTGTGGGGGCGCTTGCAAAGTAAGGGAAGTGCTCCAGGATCCAACCGTAGATATCCTTCACCGGCAGCCGCTTGTTTGGCGCGTCCTCGATGGCCATGAAGATCAGGCAGCTGAAGGAGTACGGCGGTTTTCTGTTGGCTCCCGCCGCCAAGTCGTACGCCGAATGTGCGTCACCGAGCAAAGCGTCTTCCAGGGAAGGAGACGAGGAGGAGGGCGAGCGCGAGTGCTGACCGTCGGGGTCCTGCAGGGGGGAGACGCTACGAAGCCCCGAGTGGCTGAAGCTGTTGAGGAGGTCGGTGCTCTCGTGGAGCCAGGAGAGGCTGGTGAGCTCCTCGTCCTCGGCCTTGGAGAAGGAGGCGGACAGGGACAGCGAGAGGTCGGATGCCTCGGCCTCGGATGCTGCCGTGGCGGCGTCCCCTTGTCGGTACGGTGGGCTCATACCCTGCGAGGCACTGGCGCCACTACTGGGGCTTTGGGCCTTCTTACTGGGGGGCATGGTGGGTCCCATCCAGCCCAGGGCTCACTCCTGGAAAGAGGAAAAAGGGTAGGACAGAGGGAAAGAGAAAAAGAGGAAAAAAGAAACGAGGTCAGCTTGTGAAATTCATTTAGCTTTCTCACATAAAGACTTTTTCTTAAAGGCCAAATGGTGGAGACACGCAACAAGATGTTGACCACATTCCCAATTAGGCAGATCTGAGGGGAAAAGTATACATCATCTTTTTTCTCTGGGGCTCTATACCCAGTTCCGGCTGGAGCGGCACATTTAGTGCTTCATTGGTTGAGGAAATCTTGCCTTGTACGACTACCCTCTAATTACAAGCGTACCAGGAAAGTATTGACATTACACGAAGGTTGCTGTCATAACATGTGAACCCTGGTAAAGGTCTAATAGCGCTTTGACACCTCTATAACAGGAAAATATCCAAGGTAGGCGTGCTGAATAAACTTTAACCTGTCCATGACCACATCCTCACAATTAAGAGATCTTCCAGAAAAAAAGGAAAGAACAACTTTTAAATTCCTAATCATCAATATTCTCCCAACATAAGAGCAATTGTGTTCTCGTTAGCAGAGGAAGAGCGGTTATTGACGGGGACGGGGTCCGAGTAACACACACCACGCTCAGAAGGCTCACAGCAAGAACTTTGATTGTCCTCTAGCAGCAGGGACAGCTGTGGGAAGAAGGACCCTCGCCCTGTGTGCACACGTTTCAGAATCTGGACACAAATACACACCCCCGATAGGATGTACCACGCCGACACGCAGAAAGAAAAACCTACATTTGCATGCACACAAATTTGGATAAAAAGGTCCTGACAGGGGTAGAAAAAGGTTTCAAGTCTAAAAGCATGAACACACACATACATAGACACACACATACATAGACACACACATACACATACACACACACACATACACACACACTCACACACACACATACACATACACACACACTCACACACACAAAGATTAAATCCAGATATGTCCTCGCTGGGCCGTGTTGTGCGATCTTCCTCTAATCCAAGGTGATCATCGGCCGATCTGTCCCCTCACTCTACGTGATTGACTGACAGATGTCACCCCTGGCAACCCGCTGTGCCGTGACAACTGTCAGTTCGCAGCATCTCCGCTCAAAGTGTCACCATGGCAACAGAGCAAAACAACTCTGGTTATGTCTCTCTTCTCTGTCTACCTATCCACCCCCGTCTTTTCACTTTTTCCCTACCACAGCCGATAACTCTGCCTAACAGCGCCTGATAGGCTGGAGAAGGACTGGGCTAAATATAGAAATGTGATGTATAGCTGCTGTGCTGCTGCTCCATCCGACTCTCTCCGCCGCGATGGGAAACGCTCGGTAGCGTGTCTTTGATCCCCCCCCCTCCACTTCCTCCCTTTCTACTCCTCACACTTTCTGACAGCAGGCGCGCTCATTCAACAAGCTGTACCTGTCTGAGATATGCCGTTGTTGCACCAATATTGACATTGAGCGTAATGAATTCAAATTGCCCTGGCGACGATAGCTGAAAATAGTGAGTGCATAATCAAAGGGATGGGCGAGGGTGTTTGACAGGCTTTTCAAGGTGTGTGTGTCTTTGTATGAGCGTATTCATGCGTGTGTTTGACAGGCTTGTCGCGCCGTATGTGTGTGTGTTTCTCTCAGGCAGGAAGTAAGGGCATCGCAGTGACATTGTTCCTGGTAGGAGTCCGCTGGAATGCAGAGATGCTCTCTTTCTCTCCATCTCCTCTTCCTTGTTATGTTGCCATAGCGGCAAGGGGGCCATGAAACATTACGGCTGACAGTAAAGTCATCTCATTTTACTGTTGCTATGACAACAAACTCCTCACTGTTGGTTGGGGCCAGCGCGAACTGCCGCCCAAGCCTCCTGCCAGAGTGTGTGCGAGTAGATTCATTTGTGTATGTGTGTGTGTGTGTGTGTGTGTGTGTGTGTGTGTGTGTGTGTGTGTGTGTGCCAGCATGTCTCCCATGGGCACTCATAAAGCTTAACACACTTGCTCAGCCCTAAACAAACTTTCATGCAACTTCTACAGCGGCCCCTCAGGGCCAACTGCTAAAGGACAAAGGCAGATATCGCTCAAGTTCAGACTAAATGATGCCTGCTGCGTGTGTGTGAGTGTGAGTGTGTGTGTGTGTGTGTGTGTGTGTGTGTGTGTGTGTGTGTGTGTGTGTGTGTGTGTGTGTGTGTGTGTGTGTGTGTGTGAAGCATCCTCACATTTGTTTGACAGATGGGACTGTGCTATTCTCTCTGTCTTCTTCATTCCCTGGATCTCTTTTGTGTTTGCATGCTTTGTTTTGATTTGTTTTCCTCTCTGTTTGGCATGTCCACATTTGGCTGAGTGTGTTTTCCCCGGTGTTTCAATATGTGTTTGCATCGGACTGTAAGTACACTCTCTATAAGTACATTCTCCCATCGTAGTGCCTGTGCATACCAATGCGATTTAAAGCAGCTGGAATCTGCACGGTGTTGCTCTCGCTCCCTCTGTGACCCGGGCACCATGCCGGTTCTGTTTGCTCTCTGCACCCTGATAACACAGGCTTAAAAAGACAACACTCAATTAGAGTCAATTGCTTTCTCGGTTTGAAACGCTATTCTTTAACACACTGAGATGAGGCGTACTGGGATCTAAATCCAGACCAGATCTTATCTAGACCCTGACCTATAGCCAACGTTTTTTACCTTTACTTTCCCAGAGACCAATGGATTCGTAGAAAATCATCTCAGCCAATCAAATCAATGCTTTAGATCAGTGGTTTTCAAACTTTTTTCAATAACGTACCCCCTTTGAAAATAAAATTCAGCTAAGTACCCCCTGATCAGCGCAAAAACAATTTGTTAAGGAACAAATGCCTATAAAGAGGTACAGTACAGCGCTGCACCATCAGTGTCTGATTTATTAAAACAACAACATTGTAACTGAGAAACACTTACATTTCAAATGTTTACAATCCATCACTAAATTCATGGCAAACCAATTTTAACATCATGCAATAACACTAAGACGACATTAGTTGCATTGAACTGATCTTTTTAATAAGTTGTACTTACAATTTAGTGATAAACATGGGCTTGTGCTTCACTGAGGACCTTTGTCATTCTGACAGGGAAGCTAACTGCAGTTATTACACTTATCCTTTTGAAATATGTGTAACTCTGTTCATATAAAACCCACACTGCTCAAACTTCGTTACTTTTCCTAAAATTGGTATATCTATTTATTTATTTTGGGGCGTGGGGAATGAAGAGAAACAAATATAAGCATTTTATGAGCATGGGATTTTGACCCCTCATAGAAACACATGCATAATGCTGCGCTATACTTTGCGGCCACACGCCGTGGCCAAGCAATGCTTATTGTTTTGGTGTCCTTTGATAAGCAGGCAGTCATGTAATTAACTAGAACTATCTAGATCTGATAGATGTGGACATGAACACAAGTGAAGTATAACCGGACAAAAAATAAATCTCACGTACCCCCTGCAGTACTCAAACGTACCCCTAGGGGTCCGCGTACCCCCATTTGAGAACCACTGCTTTAGATGACCAAATCAGGCGAGATCCATATAATACAGGAGGTGAGAGATGAGATGAGTGAAAGGAAAAAAACAAAAGGATATTTTTTTTCATTTGGCAATCTAAAATGGGACAAGTAGACAGTGACAATGGACATTTTAATTAGGTATGGACTGACTAACTTCATTCAAGTATTAGATTTCAAATCCTCACAGGACAAACTCACTGCTCTCAGTAAATAAGAGAACGTGGAGGAATGGTATTTATAAAAGTGAAAGAAAAAGAAAAGAACATCTGTTCAATTTTTACAATGTTTTGAGATTATTTATAAAAAAAAGTTTGAATATTTAATCATGAAATTCAGTTAACATTTTTAATTAATTAAATTCTTATTATTAATTATTTATTTAATTTTCTCAAACCAAGGATTTTTAAAGCTCCCTGTTATGTATTTAATTATTTTTAAATGCAGCTGTTATTTTAACTTGAAAGGAGATTAAAAGAAACTAGTTATCATTACAGAAGGATAATTATAATCCCATCAGTTCAAATTGAAAACTGACAATGAATATTGCTGACATTTTATTGCATTGTAATTGATTTAATTTAACTGTCTCCTGGAGTCACTGAATCATAAAGCAAGTTATACATTATAACACTCCTGACCTTTACTAGAGAGCAATTTCTCTAACTCGGAAAACCCTGGCGTGGAGGTAGGTGGTACACTAACGTCAGATTGTTTCTGTTATTATGCCTTCCTTGAATATAGGTTTCTCTGACAGCTAACAATGGCTGGAAATTACCGTGGCAACTGTGTTGAACACTTAAACTTCCTCAGACTCCGCAAGTAAAAATATCCTCTACTCAGAGACATTATTATAACTGACAGCGGAAAATGATAACCTACAACAAATATGCTTCAACGTCTCAATTTGCGCTGTTTTATATTGTTGTATTATTATACTGTCAATCAATCAATTTAAGGAGGTATGCTTGGGCTCTGGGAACCTGTGTTAGGCCTTTTTTTAAATACAATTTGTTTGACTTCCACAAAACAATTCGGACTCAAAGTCGACTTATTAATTTTTGTTCAGACCTTTCTACCATAATCAAATGCTCTTAACCAATTATGATCTATCAATAGCACATAATGTTGGCTTAGATGTTAAAGGACAATTTCAACGTTTTGGAAAATACGCCAGTCGCTTTCTTTCAGAGTAAAATGAGATGATCGATACCACGGTCCACTTCCCTATGCATTTGTAACTTCTTTTTTTGTGGTACCTACCACCTCATCAGGGATGATGGTGACGGTGACTTTTTTTCCTAACCTTACACTCTGTTGTTTCTGTGTGTGTGTTCGTGTGCGTGTGCGTGTGTGTGTATCAAGCCACCATAAGCAGCCAGTTGGCTTACTATATTCTCCACTGGTTGCCTAGCAACCTCACAAGCAGGGAGTGACTGCACCTGTCCAAGAAATAGTCTGCTACAACGC